CGATCTTCTGATGCAAAAACTGATGTTACACGGCATTGAAATTTCCTGGTTCGCCGCCTATCTACATGGACACACTCAGAGCGTGTCTTTGCAAGATGTATCCGGACGTCGAGTGCTGTCTAGGCCTCTTTCTAATGCCATGGGTGTCTTCCAGGGCTCTGCGTTAGGGCCGCTTCTTTTCACCATTTTCTCTAACAACTTATCGCTATACACGGGCGACGCAAAAGTGTTTCAGTATGCCGATGACACTCAAGTATTGGTTAGCGGTCCAGCTCGGGACCTCGAAGTTCTCATCTCGCGCATGGAGGACTCCCCCGCGTCTCTCAACGACTGGCTTTGCGCTAACGCCCTCTAAAGTGAACGCAAGTAAAACACAGCTTATTGTATTTGGCAGTCGTCAAAATCTACGTAAATTACCAGACTTTAGAGTACCATTCCGCGACGCAGCGTTGCAACCGTGCGCACAGGTCGGGAACCTTGGCGTCACTTTCGACAGCACTCTGTCATGGGACGCACACGTCTCTGAACTCTGCCGCCGGTGTACGGGACTGTTGATTGGTCTTTCACACGCGCGCCACTGTCTCCCAGACGGCATCATTCGAACGCTCGTGACGGCACTCGTTGTATCGCGTATCCAGTACTGCCTTTCAGTTTATGGTAATGGGTCCCAAAAACTCGGTCGACTCCAAAAAATTCTTAACTTTGCCGCTAGAGTTATTTTCGGCCGCCGTAAATTTGACCATGTCTCCGACCTGCGAACAAAACTCGGGTGGTTGTCCCCGCGCGGTATGTCCGATTTCCACACCCTTGTCATCGCACACAACTCACAAGGTCATACAGCGACGGTCGTCAAGTTAGATGTGAGTGAATCCTAATCTATTATCTAAGATTCGGAGTCAGGCGAGCCCCTCCGATTTGGACCAAACTTGGTCAGTAGATAGTACGTAACATCCTGATTACGATGCACTCAAAATCTAAGCTCGGCCCGCCATATTTACGGGATGTTTGAATTTCAAGGTCATTCGGGCGAGCCCCTACGATTCCCGTCAAAATTGGTGTACGGATACTCTGGATGCTCCTCATTACGAAAATTACAAAATTTAAGCTCGGTCCGCCATATTTACGAAGTTACGGAGGTTTGAATTTCAAGGTCATTTGGGCGAGCCCCTGCGATTTCCGTTAAAATTGGTATACGGACATATTACATCCTCCTCATTACATATGGGGAATATTTGTTTCTGGTCCCTAAAAAGCTGTTTCTGGCACCTAATTGCTGATCAGCCCCAAAATGCTTACTCGACCCTAATATCTGAATCTGGCACCTAATTGCTTCCACACAGCCTTAAGTTGCCAGATCGTCTAGTTGAACTCCGTATTTGCTGTTTGCTGATTCAGCACCAAAACCAAAACATCCAGCACCTATTTTATTCCACGTTTGCCTACCTAATTCGCGTAATCTTCCTGATTTTATGTATCCTAACAAACATGAACGTTGCATTCGGTGATGTCAAGTGCCATTTTCGCCAGTGGAGATAATGATTAATGCCATTTCTAGCCAAAAGAGAATCACTAGCCAGCTATGGTGCAGCATAGCAAGACGCTCCTATACCAGCCCGCTATGTAGAGATTATTGCACCCTCAGCCATTTTAACGTGAAAAGTTTGGATCCGTCACTTCCAGCCAGGCTCTCAGGTCATAAACTGGAGTAAAGCAAAATGTCAACTCTGAACAGACATGCCACGCAACCGGCCCTCTTTTCAATAGCTTTCTGTAATCATCGTCTGACTCCATCTCGATCAAACGCAGCATCCGGTTTCTACAGGGGCGTTTGACTGACCGGCCACACAATAACCAAAAACAAAATCAAAGCTTCATGCACACATAAGTAAGAAACGGATGAAAAAGGCACAACCACGGCACAACTCTGCGCGGCAAACAACGGACAATGTCCCACGCAAGATCTCGCGTTTCTTCAGCGGCCTTGAACGGAATGAAAACATTACATTTCTTTTTTGGAGCTATTTGATGACGTCAAAAAATGCAATACCCGTTTTAATGGTGAAAATCGAGACAATTACTCACAAAAAATGTTTCCCTTTAAGCATTACAAATAAATACTTTTAAATATTAAAATGACATTGTTTTTTTCGAACAAATCAATATTATTTGCTTACTTAAACGTCATATACAATGCTGAGATCACTACGGGGCTGTCTTAGAGTGTAGCTGCACTGGCAACCTTTAGGCTAGACTCCAGGGGTCATTATACCAGAACAACATGATTCTACCAGCCAGTAGTTCATTTTTCTACTAGATTGGTGCTACGCTCAGCATTTAGGTGCCAGATTCAGAAAAAAGAGTAAGGCGTACCGATGAATAGGTGCCAGAAACAGCTAATTAAGGTCATTTTCCATGATTGGTGCTGGTATCCACCCAATAGGTGCTGAGGACCAATTTTGGGGCGAGTCAGCTTTTAGGTGCCAGAAATAGCTTTTCTGGGACGCAATTAAATGGCGTCCATTACAAATATCATAAAAGTTAAGCTCGGCCCGCCATATTTTTCAATTTACGGAGTGACAAAGTTACGGAATTTCAAGGTCATTGGGAGAGCCCCTCCGATTTTCGTCAAAATTTGTATGCGGACACATGACATGCTCCTTATTACGAATATCATATAAATTAAGCTCGGCCCGCACTATTTCAAAAGCTACAGATGTTTGAATATCAGTGAATTTCAAACCACAGTAACGTTTGAAATAGTGCGGGCCAAGCTTAGTTTTTACGATATTCGTAATGAGGAGCATGTAATGTGTCCGCACACAAATTTTGACGAAAACCGGAGGGGCTCTCCCAATGACCTTGAAATTCCGTAACTTTGTCACTCCGTAAATTGAAAAATATGGCGGGCCGAGCTTAACTTTTATGATATTTGCAATGAGGAGGCTATAATATGTCCGTATATCAATTTTAACGGAAATCGCAGGGGCTCGCCCAATGACCTTGAAATTCAACCCTCCGTAACTTCGTAAATATGGCGGGCCGAGCTTACATTTTGTAATTTTCGTAATGAGGAGCATCCAAAGTATCCGTACACCAATTTTGACGAGAATTGTAGGGGCTCGCCCGAATGAACTTGAAATTCAAACATCCCGTAAATATGGCGGGCCGAGCTTATATTTTGAGTGCATCGTAATCAGGATGTTACGTACTATCTACTGACCAAGTTTGGTGCAAATCGGAGGGGCTCGCCTGACTCCGAATCTTGATTATAGATTAGGATTCACTTACATCTAACTTGACGACCGTCATACAGCGCCGAGAACCCGAGCAACTAGCCGGCCCCCGCCGAAGTTAGTTGGTAGCACTGCTGCTCCACGGCGTACATTTCCTACCAGCCCATAGGGTTTACATGTTAAATGGCCTGTTTTCAGCGAGCGATATCTCGGTCAACCTTTGAAGGAATCAATGGTTCTTAGTCTCAAATGATAGATCGATGAATTTTCTTTCGACAATTCCTCTACCATTTTTCACGAAACCCAGCCGATCTTCTACGGCGTACAGGGTAAAGATTTCTCTGCACGCCAGCACCCGCGATCCGCCTCTCCGATCGTCGGCGCGCGGTCCTCGGTAGTGCAGTCGGTAGCGTATCGGGCTACGGATCAGAGGGTCGTGAGTTCGAATCCTGGGAGCGCCGCGTGAGTTCGGTTAGAATCGAATGATGTAGATTCTTGAATGTTTGCATAATCAATTATGAATAGCTAATAGAATGTATCTGCCCACTAATCGGCCCCTAAAACCTGTTATTTTAGAAATTTAAGAAATGAATGTCACGTGCGCGTCACAACTGCCGACCATAAGCGCTACCATATTCTAGTTTGTGTTCTGGTCCGGGCCTCGCCTGTCAGCCTCCCTTCTTACCGGCTCGATCCGGTACGGGCGGCCGGGCGCTGGGTCACCCCACCTGACGTGATGTGCTCACCTGTGATTGGTTGGGAGTAGGTGGCGTGACCTGATCACCCCACCTGCCGATGTATGTATGTCAGCTCTGATTGGTTTGCGAGTGGAGTGCGTGTCAATGTGTGTTGTGAAGCGGAATGTGAGGGCAGTTCTGTTTTGGTGTGCACGGCGGCAATACAGCTTACCAGCTACTCCAGCGTCTGAACCTCACATGGCGCAGCCGACATCTACGGACCTGCCACAGTGAGCCGAAGCAGTACCAGAGGACCTGACTGGTAGATCAGCGACTGCATGGCGTACAATTTACGTTCCAGTTCCAAGATGGATAATACCAGCGAACAAGAAGAGGTCAGCTCGGCACCACCATGGCTAGCTCAGCTTCAGCAACAGCTTCAACTGCAGCTACAGCAACAGCACGAGCATCATCAACGAGACATCGAACTCCTTCGCCAGGAGCTACAGGAGCACCGTTCTATGGCTATTGCAGCTGACCGGAAGCCAGCGCCAACAGCGGTGGAGCCCGAGGTCACCACGCGATCAGCTGAAGCCAACGGCGCTGTTGAGCCGCCGACTCCTGCCGTTTCGGGGCACTCAGTGGAGGCATCCAGGACACCAGTACCTGGCGAGGCTAGCAGCCAGACACCACCTTCATTAGTACCAGCCCCCGCTGCCGCATCATCTCCTGTAGCATCTCCTGCAGCTTCAGCATCTGCACTGATCCAATCAGACAACATAGTCAGGCGACCACCGGTAGCACCTCCTGCAAAGCTATCATCTTCTGCCAGTCTTCGTGAGTTTCGTCTATGGAGGTCATCCTGGGATGATTACTATCGCCTTGGAAGCATCTTCACGCTTGGTCAGGCAGACCAACTCGCCTACCTGAGAGGTTGTTTCACCGAGGACATGCGCGCCGCCAGTCTGCATGCGGTCGGCATCTGCCCTCACCTGGACGATGTCAACTCGTCCCTGGACAAGATTGAACAGTATCTGCGTCTTCAGCACAATGTACACGGTGATGAGCACGGTCAAAGACGTACACGGTGATGAGCGCCGAAACAGCTCGTCTTCTCGGAGTGACGACGGATGCTCTGTCACCCCCACCCAGCATCCAGATCTCTGCTGCCAATGGCCAACCAATGTGCTGCATCGGCACTTTCGACACCTTCATCAGTCTTCAAGACAAAACGTCCCGGGACACCGTGTACGTCTTTCCCGAGTCCCGTGGGATGCTCTTGGCCTGGTATACCGCTAAGGCACTGGGTATTCTTCCTGCCCACTACCCTGAGCCGGCGAAGCAGCCGTCTGGCGTTCACAGAGTCGCAGCATCTCCAACAGATGGAGCAAACAGTTCGCCATCGGCAACTTCGAAGTCCAAGAACATGCTGCGCAGTACACTGCGGCAAGAGTTGATCCAGGAGTACCGCGATGTCTTCACGGATGACAGCGAGGGCTCACTCCAACCGATGGCTGGTGAACCCATGGTCATCCATGTCACAGAGGATGCAGAGCCGTTTGCGGTCCGCTCAGCTCGCCCAGTCCCCTTCGCCTGGAGGGACGAGGTCAAAGCACAGCTGGACCAAATGGTCCTACACGGCATCATCGCACCACTCGGTGCAGAGCCTGCTGACTGGTGTCATCCCCTCGTACTGGTTGCAAAGGCATCTGGTGTTCGCATCTGCATCGACCTGACCAAGTTGAACAAGTTCGTCAAGCGGCCACTCCATCCACTCGTCACGCCTCGAGAAGCCGTCTCACAAGTGCCCACTGAAGCGAAGTTCTTCTCGATTCTAGATGCGAAGTCTGGCTACTGGCAACTACCACTGCACCCGGACAGTCAGCACCTGACCACCTTCATGACTCCCTGGGGTCGCTTCAAGTTCCTCCGAGCTCCCATGGGTCTTATCTCGACTGGGGACGAGTACTGCCGGCGAGGGGACCTCGCTCTCCAAGGTCTCGACAACTTCGTCAAGGTAGTCGATGACATCATGATATACAGCAAGACGTTGGAAGAACATGAGCACCATCTTCGAGCTCTTCTCGACCGTTGTCGTGCACTTCAAGTGACCTGGTGACCTGACCTTGAATGACCTTGGTCTGAAATTTTTACAACATGTGTAGAATTGATGTATGATAAGCTATACCAAAAACGGCGGCGCTCCGCGCCGCCGTTTTTGAGATATTCGCGAAAAACCACAGGGGGGGGGGTGTTCAAACACCCCCCCAGCAGGGCGCGGGTTAAAGGAATGGTATTCTAGATAAGTGTAGGAAATCAACAATGTTTTCACACTTTTTCCACTCCGAAACATATCCTACCGAATTCGCCACTTTCTCCTGCACAAGACAACGCCTAGTTTGGCTACCGGAACTTGACTGAACACGGAATATTCGCATTAGAGTATCTTAATACCCCACTCAGGAGCGCTACACTGAAAAAAATAATGACACCTAAAAGGGGTGTTTTTTGAAGCGTACCAAAAACGCGCAGTTTTCTTGAGTCCGATTACACCCGGAATCAGACACTTTCTAGCGTATTATGACACTGGTTGAGGGTGTATTTTTATACCATATGGCGTCAAATGATTCCCGGAATCGTACGCCTTATAAGATAAAAATACACCCCAAACCAGTGTCATAATACTCTAGAAAGTGTCTGATTCCGGGTGTAATCGGACTCCAGAAAACTGCGCGTTTTTGGTACGCTTCAAAAAACACCCATTTTAGGTGTCACTTCAGGGAGTAATCGGATTTTGGGGGGGTGTTTTGATCCCATACGGTGTATGACTCCGGGAATCATTTGACGACATGTGGTATAAAATATACTCCCCACCAGTCAGAATACCTCGGGGGTGTCTGATTCCCGGTGTAATCGGACTCCTGGAAACTGCGCGTTTTTGGTACGCTTCAAAAAACACCCCTCGTAGGTGTCACCTCAACGGTGTTAAATGACCCTTGAGATGGTTTTTCTACACCGGTTGAGGATGTTTATGTTATAACATGAAACATTGATTTATGTAGGACGATGTAGTAGCCGTGATTTATGTAGCCGATGTAGGACGCTTAGCGTCATACATCGCCTAAATCAATAATATCGGTATACCAGAAGGCACAAACCACTGGGTACCTCCCAAACTGGTCATCCACGACACAATCACGCAAAATTAAAGACGCCTATATTATATGTGTGACACTAACAGCAACAGGCTCTCAACCGGTGTAGAAAAACCATCTCAAGGGTCATTTAGCACCCGTGGGGCGACACCTACGAGGGGTGTTTTTTGAAGCGTACCAAAAACGCGCAGTTTCCAGGAATCCGATTACTCCCGGAATCAGATACCCGCCGTGGTATTTTGACTGTGGTGGGAAGTGCATTTTATACCAGATGTTGTCAAATGATTCCCGGAATCATACACCTTATGAGATTAAAATACACTATCCACCAGTCATAATTGCAGTTGAAACCACGTGACGCAGATATATAGCATATACCATGCATGGCATTCGTAATTATGTATGTAACAATAAAGTACAAAAATATGCATAGGTATATATGGCGAAATATAATGGAAGCTTACCGTAAAGCACATGGGTTCATTCACCGTGAGGAATTGCTCTGTTCCATCGAGCGGCGATTATCGGTATACTCAGACTTGCCTGCATGGTTCTGCATGGTCCAAACTTGCCTCCGTTTCCATAGTGCGTTGCAATCTTACCGTCCTCACTTCATAATTTCACCGAGTGCAGGGCGCCTCCTTATTTGGATACGTACAGAGCAAGTTACAAATAAAAACTGAACTTTATCGCTAATGCACTATCACTTGAAACAAAACTACACTTCAAACAACGTTTGGCGACATTACAAGCACGTAAATTCAAATAATTCCTGTCCTCACTCACATCGCACACACCACGTGGCACACCGCGCGCGCAACTGAAGTCCAACGGCTTTCTAACGGTTTTCCTCAAGGTCGCACTATTTCGTCTTCGTGGTGGACCGACTAACACAAATGACGTCACAAGGCAATGCAGCCTGCTGATTGGCCTATTTCATCTTCGTGGCGGATCAGCTATATGGCTAGCACACACATGACGTCACTCGGGGCATTGACTCAAATCACTGAACCTACACCAGGGTTACGGAGTCAGAGTCGGAGTCCGTTGGAGTCGACAGTTCTGACCGTAGCCGGAGTCGGTTGGAAACGACAGTTCTGGCCGTTGTCGGAGTCGGGGTCGATATTGGAAGCCGGAGCTGGATTCGGAGTCTGATTCACCGAAAATCTCTTGACTCTGCAGTGTTGGTTCCTACCACCAGTGACGTCAAAACAAGTTCTGTAATAATTTAGTGTTTTTTGATACTATCATGTGGAGTTTTTGAATCCTATGGGTGCCATTTCACACAGTTGAGCGTTTTCGTAATCCGTGACTCGCTTATTAGGTGTAATTTGACCCTTAGTGGTGCCATAATATTCCGGTGTCATTTGAACCCAATGGGGCTCAAATGACGCCAGAATATTATGACACTACCGAGGGTCAAATTACACTCAATAAGTCATTTGAACGGAATATTATGACACCACTGAGGATCAAATTACGTCTAATAAGGGAGTCACGGATTGCGAAAACGCTCAACTGTGTGAAATGACACCTATAGGATATAAAAACTCCTCATGATAGCGTCAAAAAACGCTCAGATGTGTCATTTTACACTGACACCGTGCAGGATCTTTTGACACGACACCTAAAATGGGAGTCAAAATCTTGGGAGTCAAATGACCCTTGGGTATGTGATTCTGACCGAGATCAATTTACACTAAAAAACGGTGTATGGACACTGTTTTTCAGAATCGGATTACACCATGGGTGTCAGTTGATTCCCAAATAGGGGATCGTGATTCCCGGGGGGAGTAATTATTTTTCTCCGTGTAGGGCAAACAGCACGATATAGGTATGTTCCGGACATAGGCGAATAATTTTACTTCGTGATTTATATGATGCATATTTTCTGAGACACATTCATTAGGAATAGGATGACAGGCGTAAATTATACATACCGTAACCTTATCAACCGTCGCACTTGTGGGGAGGGGGAGGAGGAAGGGGTCGGATAAAGCCCCATGGTTTTCCGCAAATCACTCGCGCAAAAAGCAGCTGATCGCGACGAAACTTTCGTTGCCCTCGAGATCATCAATTGTACATCTAACCTAAAAATTTCATGACTCTGACCCAACTGACCTTTGACCTGTGGCATATTTCTCGAGACCATGTTTGGCCGGAATCGCGATTCGGCGTATGCCAGCTCACATTATCCTCGGTTTCCAGTCTTTTTGTGGTTTTAAGCGTTCAAATATGTGAAATGATGTTGGTGCCGTGCATTATGGTGGGTGTCAAGGTCACGTGAAGGTCAGGTCAAGGTCATTGACCTTTGATGACCTTGGTTCACTTTTTCGAGTTTTACTTGCTTCTAGGGTAGTTTGTGGTGCTGATTTCGAAATAAGCAACCATTTGAATATTTACGAAGTAGTTCTGGTGCCTTCGTACCTTGTTACGAAGCTGTCAGTAGTACACGGAGAAAAATAATTACTCCCCCCGGGAATCACGATCCCCTATTTGGGAATCAACTGACACCCATGGTGTAATCCGATTCTGAAAAACAGTGTCCATACACCGTTTTTTAGTGTAAATTGATCTCGGTTAGAATCACATACCCAAGGGTCATTTGACTCCCAAAATTTTGACTCCTATTTTAGGTGTCGTGTCAAAAGATCCTGCACGGTGTCAGTGTAAAATAACACATCTAAGCGTTTTTGACGCTATCGTGAGGAGTTTTTATATCCTATAGGTGTCATTTCACACAGTTGAGCGTTTTCGCAATCCGTGACTCCCTTATTAGGTGTAATTTGATCCTGAGTGGTGTCATAATATTCCGTTCAAATGACTTATTGAGTGTAATTTGACCCTCGGTAGTGTCATAATATTCCGGTGTCATTTGAGCCCCATTGGGTTCAAATGACACCGGAATATTATGGCACCACTGAGGGTCAAATTACACCTAATAAGCGAGTCACGGATTACGAAAACGCTCAACTGAGTGAAATGACACCCATAGGGTTCAAAAACTCCACATGATAGTATCAAAAAACACTAAATTATTACAGAAATTGTTTTGACGTCACTGGTGGTATACCACCATCTCTTGACTCTGCAGTGTTGGTTCCTATAGGAACCAACACTGCAGAGTCAAGAGATTTTCGGTGAATCAGACTCCGAATCCAGCTCCGGCTTCCAATATCGACTCCGACTCCGACTACGGCCAGAACTGTCGTTTCCAACCGACTCCGACTACCCTATTTGTCGGACTCCAACGGACTCCGACTCTGACTCCGTAACCCTGGTGTAGGTTCAGTGGTTTGAATCAATGCCCCGAGTGACGTCATGTGTGAGCTAGCCATGGCTGGTCCGCTACGAAGATAAAATAGGCAATAGCCCAATCAGCAGGCTGCACTGTCAATTTGCGGACGAAGATTTGCGAAAAAAAATGCGAGACGAAGAAATGCGAAAACGAAGAAATGTGCGGACGAAGAAATGCGAGACGAAAAAATACGGAGACGAAGAAATGCGAGACGAAGAAATGCGAGACGAAGACATGCAAGACGAAGACATGCAAGACGAAGACATGCGAGGCGAAGAAATGCGAGACGAAGAAATGCGAGACGAAGAAATGCGAAACGAAGAAATGCGAGACAAAGAAATGCGCGGACGAAGAAATGCGGAGACGAAGAAATGCTCGGACAAAGAAATGCGAGACGAAGAAATGCAAGACGAAGAAAGGCGGAGACGAAGAAATGCGCGGACGAAGAAATGAGCGGACGAAGTTTTGCGGACGAAGAATTGCGCGACGAAGAAATGCCATGCAAAGATTTGTCCGGATACGCTGCGGTATCAATTGATTTTCGGTGACCCAGACTCCGACTCCAGCTCCGGCTTCCAAAGTCGCCGTCGACTCCGACTCTGACTCCGGCCACAACTGTCAACTCCACCCGACTCTGACTCTGACTCTGTAACCCTGGTGCGAACC